GATGGCAGGCCTGGAGGTTTTAAACTTCAGGGATTTGAGGTAGGCATACGGAAGCACGTCCTGACCACAAGGACGGTGAGAATCTAAAATAATTCCCCTCTCAGAGCAGACAGTTGTCTGGGACACACTCAGATGGTATATAGGGGACGGGGTGGGGGGGGGAAGGGGGAGAGGGGATGGGCACCCGATGACCTCACTCGCGCCTTATCCCGCCTGGCACTGACTTCAGACTGGTGGAGGGGAGACAGACGGGGCGAGATCATTCAGTGCAATGTGCGCCCAGCGCTGGAACGACGGGTCTGGGGACAGGGAGGGCAGCGCGGCCTGCAAGGGTGGGGGCACCCGAGGAAGGGGTCCTCATATCACCTGATCCCCTGACCTCCACCCAAGATGCGCAGCGTGCGGGGGCGATGCGTACCCCGAGGGCCCCGAGGCGCGCGGGCTGGGCACCCTGCCCCTCCCCCAGGGCGACTCGGGTGACTGGGAGCGGCCGGGACCCTCCAACGTCAGCGCTGCCTGCGCAAGCGCCGTCATTTCCGGTGGGCCGGGCTGGGCGGGTGGGTGGCAGTGGCGACTCCATCGTGGTGTCCGGGTGTCCGGCCCCGCCCTGCGCCCGAGCAGCGCTGGCGGGAGGGCGTCGCATCGCCGGGTCCCGGTTCCCAGCTCCCCCCGGGATTCCCTATCTGTGCTCTGGTCCCACATTCAGGAGCTGGGCTTGCATTTTCAGGGAGCCGGGGAAGCGCTCCTGGTTGCTGGAGTGTGAAGCCAACCCCAGGGGAATCATAATGCCCAAGGCTTGGGGGACATCGGGTCCACCGAGGGCTCTGGCCATCCCAACAAGGAACACCGCCCAGTAGGTCTGCCTGACACACTAGGAGGTACCAGGCTGGGGGCGAACCAAGGTCAGATAGTTTACATTTCTGACCTCTGCGGAGGCCTTCTACCTCCTTAGAGGGAAGGGCCTGAAATGGGCCCCAGAGCTTGCTGGCTGCTAGCTCAGAGAGGCTGAGGAGTTTCCTGTCTCAAAAGCAGATCTGGGGCGCCTGACTGGCTCAGTGGGGGGAGCATGCCACTCTTGATCTCCAGGCCCCAAGTTCGAGTCCCACCTTGGGTGTAAAGATTACTTAAATAAATAAACTTTATAAAATAAATAAACTTTATAAATAAACAACAACAAAAAAAAGATCTGATTTTCCTTCTTTTGGAATAGTCTAAAAACTGTTAAGTCTGGCCTGAAGGCACAGGGAGTGATCCCAGCGGGCAAGGACCCTGGGGTTCCTATGCACCGAGTCAGGCAAAGGGCCTGGCACAGGCTTGGTATACAGCATGCACCTCCCATTCCTCAGCCAGCCACAGCTCTGCAGGTCACCTGGACCTCCACTCTCTGTCCCCTGCAGAGGGAGATAAGGAAGCCCCACCCACCTGGCAGAGTTGGTTTCCCAGCTTTGGGCCATACCAGCCTCATGAGATCCAGGAGAATCCAGCCTCAATCAGCGTGCCTATTGCTGGGATGGCAATGAGAATCCAGCCTTTGTGACATATTTGTCCCTGCCAGGTGATGCTTCTGGGGCTGGGGCGGGAGGAGGGTGGCTACAGGAGAGGAGAGCCATGCTGAGGATCTGGCCAGTGTGGTAAAGGCCAAAGGCTGGGAGGTGACACAGGATCTGGATGTTTGCAAACATGGGGGTCATCTAAGTCATCACTGAAAGCATCCTTAGCTCCAGGGGTTGGAGGTGAATCTTCAGATGGGGGCTGCCTTTAATTGCTCTAACTAGCATCCTCACTGTCCAGGGTAGGGAAATTGAGGCAGCCCTTCCCAGGCCCTGGCCCTCAGCCCTTGGCCCCTGCTCTCCTCTTGGGACTTCCTAAACTCCCTTGGGGCAGCTCACCCACAAAGCTGCAGAATGAAGAAATGAACAAATGGGAGGAGGACTTGGTGAGTTTGAAGCGCTGACCAGATCCCTTTGGAACTTACTCCTCCCCACCCCACCCCCAATCCTGCAACCTGCTGGTCCCTTAGACTCATTTCTATCCCCAGCTCGATAAATGGCATCACCATCACCTGGTTACTGGAGCCAGAAGTCTAAAACATCACTCTGATTCTTCAGTCGGCTCATCTGCACATTTTCATTCTACACCCAGAATGTTTCTCGTCTTGCTCCGAGTCCACTGGCACCAGCCTTGCGCATCCCACCATTGCTTCCCTTCCAGACGATCGCAAAAGCCTCCAAACTGGTCTTGCTTCCACTCTTGCTCCCTCCCCTCCAATCCGTGCTCCAAACTTGCCAGTGATATTTTGCAACTGAAAATGAGAAGGCTTCTATTCATTCTCTTTGTCGAGCTGGGGGATAAAAAATCCCAATTCCTTCCCATGGCCCTAACTCTGATTTCATCTCTCCTTTATCCACTCCATTCAGTTATACCAGCCTTCTGTCAGTTCCTAATATATGTCAAGCTCTTTTTGCCTTAAGGGTTTTGCCCTTGCTGTTTCCTCTGCCTGGAACATTCTCCCCCTAGAGCTTGGCATGGCTGGCACTATCTCATCCTTTAGGTATTAACTTAGAGGTCACCTTCTGAGGAAGGTCTTTCCTGAACACTGAATCTAAACCTTGCCCCAAACTTGCTTCCAGAACCCTGTTAATTTCCTTCATAGCACACATTGCACGTTGTAATAACTTATTTGTCCCCACTAGAATGAAGGATGCACAAGGGCAGAGACTGCCTATGTCTCAGCCATAGATTTCTTTTTCTTCCTAAGTAAACAGTTATTGAAGTATAACCTATATTCAAAGAAATGTATACATCCTAAGGATACAGGCTGGGGTGCCTGTTTGGCTCAGTTAGTAGAGCATGTGACTCTTGATCTCAGGGTCATGAGTTCAAGCCCCACATTGGGCATGGAGCCCACTTAAAAAACAAAAACTAAGTGTACAAGTCAATGATTGTCACAAATGAACACACCTGTGTAACCAGCACCCAGATCAGGAAATAAAACATTCCCAGCCCCTCAGAGTTCCCCACGTGACCCTTGAAAGCTAAATACTATCCTGGTCAGATTCGTTTTTGCCAGTTTTGAACTTTATATAAATGGAATGATCCCTAATGATGTTCGCATCCTAATCCCCAGAACTTTTAAATGTTACCTTGCATAGCAAAGGGAACTCTGCAGATGTGATTGAGTTAAGGACCTTGAGATGGGGAGATTATGCTGGATTATTGGGTGGGCTCAGTGTCATCATAGGATCTTTAAAAGCAGGAGAGGGAAGCAGAAAGGTCAGAGTGATGCAGTATGAGAAAGATTCAACCTGCTGTTGATGGCTTTGAAGATGGAAGAAGGGGATCACAAGTCAAGCAATGTGGGTGGTCTTTAGAAGGAGCAAAAAGCAAGGAAACCGATTCTTCCCTAGAGCTTCCGGAATGGAATACAGCCTTGGAGACACCTGTATTTCAGCCAGTGAGAGCCATGTTGGACTTCTAACCTACAAAACTGTCAGTAAGTTTGTGTTGTTTCACATCACTAAATTTGGGGTAAATTGTTACAGAAACAATAGGAAACTAATAAAAGTATTTACTTTTTATGTCTGGCATCTTTCACTCAACATTTTATTTATACTGTACAACATTCCATTGCATGCATATACCACATTTTATTCATCGACTATTGATGGACATTTGGGTTGTTTCCAGTTTGGGCTATTGTCAGTAGTGCTGCTATGAACATTCTTGTACATGTCTTTCATTAACATATCTACATATTTCTGTTGCTCATATATAGGAACAGAATGGCTGGATTATAGCATCCATATATGATGGATGCTTCAGTGCATTCCCCAGACTCCCTTTCAGAACTGAAGGATTTGTTCCCCCAGCTGCTGGGAAGCCTGCTGGCTGACAGTCCTCAGCTGCCAGCCCTCTCTAGGAAGAGAGGAGCTGAAAAGAGCTCCTTTGCCTAAGATCACACTGCTTGTCATTCACCACCCGCATCCATTCAATGACTTGTGGACATGGGTCCCTCTCCCCATTTCCGCTTGGAATAGCTTTGGAAGGTCTCTCCGGATTCAGAGCTGTCCAGAGTCAGGGGAGGCTTTTGTTACGGTCACATCTCAACCCAATTCCTCCCTATGCAAACCCTGTTTCCTTCTCTTTCCCTACAAGGGTTGATGCTTCTAAAGAAGTTGAACACTTTGTCACATGTTTGTTGGGTCATTTGGTCATTTGTAAAGTGCCTGGTCAAGTCTTTTACCTACTTTTCTACTGGGCTGTCTTTCCTGTGGATTTGCAGGTATTCTTTCTATATTCTGGATACAAGTCCTTTGTTGGATATATTTGCCACATATATTCAGAGCTGGATATACTCAGGATGCCTCAACAGTCCTAATAACAATCAGTTACATGAATGCTCATGAATGCTTGAGTCTGATAACTTCTTTAAGGAAAGAATGCTTAGAAGGTGAAATTGTGTATGGTTTTAACTGTTGTAACTGAATATAGCATATGGAAAGAGAGGGAAGGGGAGGGAAACAAGACCTTAAAGGGAAAGGTCCAGAATGCAGGTAACACACCCTCAAACTTCGCCACTCCTGGACTGAGGTGTCCAGCCACAGATATTTAAACACACAACTTCTCAAAGGTAATGTAAATATTCACTCAAAGAGCGTCCATGGAAGGTCCTAACGGGCCAGCCTGTTCTAGGCACTGAGGAGCCAGCTGTGAACTAACAAGAGAGGCACGATCTGTGCTTTCAGGAGATCTAAAGGGAGAGAGAGATAACAGCAGGTAAGCAAAATAAAATCATTTCAAACGGTGAGCGGTAAACCGAAGGGGTCGGGCGTTAGGGGGAGGGGGAGGTTGAACCAGCAACAGCCCCACCAGGGCACGGGGGAGATCCCGCCCTCGGCCCCGCCTCCACATTTGCATAGTCTCCTGATTGGCCAGCGACGGCCGGCCCCACCTCTCGGAGCTGGCGGCTAGGGAAGCGTGGGGCGGACCCCGCCAAGATGCAGCGGCGGCTCCGGGTGTCGCCGGGCGGGCAGGGGGCAGCGCGGGCCGGAGCCGGGCAGGGGGCGCCCGCCGCGGCCCCCGCGCACTCCTAGCGCCCCAGACGTGCCGGCGGACTCCGACCGTCCTTGCCGCCGTCCCGCCCGCCGTCTCCGCCCCTCCACCCTTTGTGCCGCCGCCGTCCGGTGCCCCCGGCTCCGCAGGACCCCGGCCGGGCCGGACCGCCGCGGTGCGCCAGGCCCGCGTGGGCGCCGGGTCGGCGGCCGATGGCGAGGGGGCGCGGCGCGGGCGAGGGCGCTGCAGCCGGAGTCCGCGACGCGGGAGGCCCGGCCCGCCTCCGCCGCATTGTCCCGGGCCCCGCGCCCCGGCCCTGAGCCGCGCCGCCGCAGCGCCCGCCTGCCGCCCGCCGCCCGCGGGGCCATGCGGAGAGCCGCCGGGATGGAGGACTTCTCCACAGAGGAAGAGGAGCCCTGGTACGACCAGCAGGACCTGGAACAGGGTGAGCACGGGGGCGTGGGTGCGGCGGGAGAGCGGGGTGCGCCCGGCGACCCCTGTCCGCTTCTCCATTGTTGAGCAGTATCACCCCGGGGAGGGCTGGGCTGGACCCGGAGCGGCGGACTCCGAGGGGTGATGCGTCTGGAGAATCGGGACGTGGAGAGGGAACGCTGCCCGGGAAGACCCGGGCGGAACCCGCGGAGCCGTGCAAAAGTGGGGGGAGCGGCCTTTCTCTTTCCCTGAACCACAGGGGCATACTTCACCCAGCTCACCCACCCCATCTTAGAGGCAGGAACTGTCCAGGCGCCCCTGGTATTGTTGGGGGCCTGAGTACTGGCTGGAAGTCTTTGAAGGCCGGGAGGTGGCTACTTGGTTATGTTTTGCTGAGAGGAGAGAGAGAGAGAGAGAGAGAGAGAGAGAGTGAGAGTGTGTGTGTGTGTGTGTGTGTGTGTGTGTGTGTGTAGCGGAAAGTTATCCCATTCCAAATCCAGTGGCACCCTTCCCTGCCAGGATTCCTGAGCTCTGAGACTCCCAGAAAGTTTCCCCAACTCCCTTACCCTCCACCCAGGGAGGGTATAGGGGTTTGGGGACCCTGCTGGCCAAGAAGCAGCAAAAACTTAGAGTCTCCAATCTGCCTTCCTGAGGGGAAGGGGGTCCTCTGGCCCTTTCCCTCCCAGCCCTCTCTCAAATGACTCATGATTCGGAAGGAACCAGGTTTGGGAATTCTGAGCAATGCACCAGACTAGAGCCCGAGTAAAGTGGGAGCCACCTCCCCTACTCCCAACTGAGGGTAGAGAGGGTGGCTGGAAGGGGGTTAGAATCTGGTGATGAGGTGGCCAACGTGACATCACTCCAGGCAGGGGGCGGAGCTGTGAGACAGGAAGGAGGAGGAGGCCTAAGAGGGTCAGGGCCAAGGTCTCCTGGAACAGCATCAAATCTACCCTCTTTTCCCCCGAAGTGCCTCATTCTTGGATGGTTAGAGCTGGAATGGCAAGGAAATATGTCCAGGAGAAGTGACTACCGTCACCCAGCAAGCCAAGCGAGTGTGGACACAAGTCTGGTCCAGTGTGTACTAACACCCCGGCTCTGAGTTGCCATCCACTGGGGCCCCAGATGCCTAGCTTTGCCCTCGTGTGAGACATCCACCTAGATCCTGGAGCCTTTGTTTCCTGGTCCTGACCCACATCCCCACGTGGCAAGATTTGCTGGTAGATGAGACTGTCCTTGTACTCGGGAGCGTGGGTTAATCAGAGCCTCTGGGGGACCAGTGTAGGACTGGGATGCTGGGCTGAACTCTGCCATAGTCTTTGCCCTGGAGTCTACCCTCAGCCTCCCTGCATGGAGTATGATGTCCAGTACTGGCTGTGACAACCCCCTCCCCTATCCTGGGCACCACCCCCCAAATTTTGCATCCCACAAAAACCTCCTTGGCTGACACTTAAGTGTCAGACACCATCCCGGGAGCTGGGATAGTCTCAGCCCTGGCCTCCTGGGTGCACCCGGGCAGGTGGAGGTGGGCCTGTAACTGAGTATGGGTATTAGGATGCAGTAAGAGGGCTTCATGGAAGAGGCAGGCCTAGATGGAAAGACTGGAAGCTGAGCGCCTGGGAAGATGGCTTCCTGGGAAGCTGATGCTGATATTGTTGCTGTCTCATTTCATTCCCGCACCCCTAACAAAGTCTCTGGCATGCTGCCCAGCCCAGATGTGGGAGGAAGGAGCCAGAGAATAGGGGTGGGAGACGTGCTGCTTCCGGAGAGTAAGAGGTGTCAAGATTCGAGCTGGGCTGGGCAGCCATGCTCTGGGACCAAGGTAGGGGCTGGCCTTGCTGGTCTGCAGCAGCCGGCCTTGTCTTGTGGCCCCAGGAGTAGCCAGGGCCCAGGAATAAGGAGGGAAACCAGAAATGAGGCAGTGTCCGAAGAAATCAGGGTTTATGACCTAAAAACAAATGTCCCCTCACCCTCAGCGAGGGCAGAAGGCCCTCTGTCTCTGTAGTGAGAGCAGAGGGCCTTCTGCTATGAGACTCATAACGGTTTCTGCAAAAGCCCCTCTGGGCCAGAGGGTGAATAGGGGCTGTCTGGGCATTCGAGGTGGAGGGAACACAATGCCAACCAAGGTACAGAGCAATGTGAGAAGACCACACACAGCTAGAAAGTAGGAGCCATCTAGAGTGCCAGGGGTGGGCTCCCGGGAAATCTCAGGCACGGCCACTGCAGCACCACCTCCTAGAGCCCAGCACAGAGAGCTAGATGATGGGGTGAAGAATGGGCCAAAGGCCAGCCGCACTGGGGATCAGGTGCCTGTTGCATCCCCTTTCCCTGTCCCCAGTGCCTCTGAGTGGCTCAGAAGGTGGTTTGCTCAGCCAGCCTGGCCTCCCTTCTGTATTTGTCTCCCCCTGTCCTGAGGGCCGCCCCAACTGTACTTTCTGGAAGCTTGGCCTTCCAGATGCTGTTTTTTCCCAGTGGAGGGAGGCGGTTGGGACAAGCAAGGTCCTAGACCCTCACCATGTTCCCTCCGCCCACTGACACCAGCACCTGTAAAAATAGAAAAAGCCATTGATCGTTAAACACAGGTTCTCTCTCTCTGCCTGCCTCCCTTCCTTGGACCAGGAATGGGGGGCCCTGTGGTACCTCTTTCCAAGCTCAGAGAGGGCTGCTGAGTCACAGATTTGAAGTCCTGGGTGCCTGACCTTGAGTCTCAGCCTTGGGCCAGAGCTCTGACATGGCAAGGGGAAGGGGGGTGACCGGACCCCAGTTGTGTGGACCCAGGCTTCCTGGCATTTGTGCCCTGGAGGTTGTAAGCAGGAATCCTGCAGCCCTGCGGGTGGTAGATTGCCTCCCCCCACCTGCTTTATCTTTGTCCCTTCATCCCTGTGCCTGCCCCCTGTCCCTTTCCTACCTCTCTGCTCCAGAGTCTGTGGGCCCCACCCCAACCCCAACCAGTGGGGACAGTGGGGTTTCAGGGTTTCTTTTCAAAGACATCCCTGAAGCTCCCAGCCATTCCCTCTCAGGCCTTTAGGGCATTGCTCATGGGGAGCACATCAGCAGGCACGCAGAGGGCAAAACTGCTGAAGCCCACTACAGGAGACCCCAGAAAATCCCAGGGTCCAGGCGCGGGGGTGGGGAGCCCATTTAGACTTGGTATCTCCCCCCAGCTTGGTCCAGTGTGACCATTAATCCAGCCGTGACAGGCTATTTATGACTCCAGCATCTACTTCCTGCTTAGCCAGCTCCCCCATTCTCCCACCCCGAGGCCTCCCCCACCCCTGGTCCAAGGGGAGCTGTACGCCCCCCCCACCACCAGAGCCCAGAGCCATCACCAGCCCTCTGCTAGCTGTGTACCTTCCCCAGTACTTGGCTCCAGCCAGTCCCCTGCTCTGCAGCTTCTAGACTTCTCCCGTGAACCCTCCTGGCAGCTTCAACCAGCTTAGCTTACATTGTGATCCAGTTTCCCCAAGACAGTCTCTGAGGTTCTCCCCCACCCCAAACAGCTTCTATTGTGTTCCTCCCCACCCCTGAGTCACTGGGCGGCCTGGTTACGTTCGCTGCCTTCACAAGGCAAGCTTCTGTGTCCCTGGTTTATAGTGACTTGCAGCTGCCCCAGCCCGGTGGTAGAAATACACACACAGCTCAGGTGCTCACCTGGCAAGAAAAGCGTAAAATGCAGTTGTTTGTGGCCTTTCCTCACTCAGCTTCAGAGCCTGAGGTCTTGGACTCTAGGTTAAGCTGCAGGAACTCCAAGCAGGCCACCCATGGAGCCTGTGCCCCAATGCCAGCATCGGTAGCAATGGCCTCTTCACAGGCCACCTGCCAGTTCCCAGAGGAGAAAGCCCCGATGAGTGTGGCCCTCTGTTCTTTTTCATTGTACCTGAGTTATTTGATACTGTTTGGGGATGAGCCATATGTTCGCCATCTCATTTCAGAAAGTAGGAAAATGGTGTGGCTGCCTCATCACGAAGCAGGGGTGGTCTTGCTGGGCTCCCGAATTCGCACCAAGCACTCAACCTAACGTAGGGCTGCACTACAATACTCACATCAAACCTCACGCTTTGTAGACGGATGCCTCCAGACGCCTTCACACTTTGTAGACGTTTGCCCAACTTATAGTTCATAAATTCATACTGCGAGTGGCCCCATTCCCCTCCCGGTCTGTATTAGGTAACTGGTTTTTCTCGCCATCATCATCCGAAGTTCATTGCTCAAAGCTGAAGGTTCTTATCTGAGATCTATATGATTATTTTTTTTAAAGATTTTATTTTTTTATTCATGAGAGACAGAGAGAGAGAGAGAGGCAGAGGGAGAAGCAGGCTCCCAAGGAGCGGGGAGCCCAATGTGGGACTCGATCCCAGGACCCTGGGATTATGACCTGAGCCGAAGGCAGACACTAAACCATCTGAGCCACCCAGGCGCCCTATATGATTATTTTCTTTAAAGATTTTATTTATTTGAGAGAGAGAGAAAGAGAGAGAGTTAGGGGAAGAGCAGAGGAGGAGGGAGAGGACAAGCAGACTCCACGCTGAGCCCCAAGCCCAGTGCGGGGCTCGATCTGACCTGAGCCGAACCTGAAACCAAGAGTCGGATGCTCAACCCACTGAGCCACCCAGGCACCCCTGATTATTTTTTTTCATTGGCTGAGGTAGCTGTTTAGGAAAACAGCTTTTGTTTTCCCAGGCTAGGTTATTGCAGCCTTTCTCCGGGATAGCAGCTTTGCAACTCCTCCAGGAAACTCCTCTGGGTGACATCCGGGCACAGGGCCCTGCTCCTGCCTGAGGCCCAGCCTGGAGACTCCACTCTGGCTGTTTCAAAACCTTACCTGTAGTGTGGGAGCAGACTCCAGGCTTGTTCCCGACAGGCAGCTGGGCCTTTTGTCCAGGCCCTCTGGGTTCCGTAAGGTGATCTCAGTCCAACCCCCAGCCTGGCTGAGAAAAAGCCCGAGGCTCTGCTCTCCTAGGCCCACAGGGAGTCGCTGGTCTCCTAGGCTCTTCTGAGAAGCCTCCTCCCCAGACCTGGCCGGTGCCCAGCAAGGGGCTCAGCTGAAACAACTGTACTGATGAAACTCTCTATGGGGGGCTATAGAGACCCTCCATCCTCTGGGGAGTCTAGAACGGTCACTGTCTGAACAGGGAAAGCATTAAAGACTTGAATCCCTGGACCACATCACATCGGCCCCAGCAGAGCTGCCTTTATGCATCTCGATCTGGATTTATACCATCAGCCTAGATGGAGGGCTGTTTTAAGAAACAACCTCACAATGGGAAAAAGACCCAAGCTTTCCTGGACTGCATTTTGGCAGAATGAATCAAATAGGCCTACTCTTTGTCCCGCGGATTCTGTTTCTGGGAAAGGATCTTCAGGATATAGGCAGTGATTTGCACCAAGATCTTTGTACTATGAATTTTTGTAGTTTCATTTTTTAAAAGATCTTATTTATTTGTTTGAGAGAGAGTGGGGGAGCATGAGTGGGGGAGCAGGGCAAAGGGAAAAGCAGACTCCCCGCTGAATAGGGAGCCCGACACGGGGCTCGACCCCAGGACCCTGAGATCATGACCTGAGCGGAAGGCAGACGCTCTACCGACTGAGTCACCCGGGCAACCCCAGTTACATTTTTAACAGAGAAAAAAAAAGGGGGGAAATTCCTAAAAATCCAACAGTAAGGGCTACTTAGGGACCTGTATACAATAGAACATTCACACCCACTAAAAATGGCCCTGTAGATCTATGTGGACACAGAAGACTGTTTATGCCAAATTGTGAAATGAAAAAAAGCAGGTACAGAAAAACATTCTGTTCACACAAAGTCGTTTCTATAGCAGCTCTAAGCCCAGAGGGCTGTTTAGAAGGATGGTTCCCTGCATGTTGAGCGTCTTTCTCTAAGTGGGGCATTTTCTTCTACTTGCTTGCTCCCCTCTCCTCTCCCACCCCGCACGGACCCTACCTCTAATTACTTACAGATGGCACTATTCTTTTGATAACTATTTGAGGCCACGTCCATTTGTTTGTGGAATTCCCAGTTATAGATCTAAGAATATATGAGGTACATTTTCAAGTAATATTTTGGTCACCTTTGTTAACCTTTCTGTGCTGTTTGATTTTTTTACATCAAGTACACCTTCACACAAGCCTTAAAGCAATTTTAAAAAGAAAAGAGCCTTAAAAAAAAAGAGGGGCACCTGAGTGGCTCAGTCGATTAAGCATTCGCCTACAGCTCAGGTCATGTTCCCAGGATCCTGGGATCGAGCCCCGCATCGGGCTCCCTGCTCAGCGGGGAGTCTGCTTCTCCCTCTCCCTCTGTGTGTTTGCTTGTGCTCTCTCTCTCCCAAATAAATAAATAAATCTTTTTTTAAAAAGAAAGAGAGAGAGGGCGCCTGGGTGGCTCAGTTGGTTAAGCGACTGCCTTCGGCTCAGGTCATGATCCTGGAGTCCCGGGATCGAGTCCCGCATCGGGCTCCCTGCTCGGCAGGGAGTCTGCTTCTCCCTCTGACCCTCTTCCCTCTCGTGCTCTCTCTCTCTCTCATTCTCTCTCTCTCAAATAAATAAATAAATAAAAAATCTTAAAAAAAAAATAAAAAAAAAAAAAAGAAAGAGAGAGAGAGGAGAAAGAGGAAGGAAGGGAGGGAGGGCCTTGTGAACTCCACCAGAGTCTGTCTACCAACCTCCTTAAGGGCCTTGCCCCCACCATCAGTCTCTGTCTCCTGATTAAGCTGCCTGAATCTTTTTTTTAGAAACAGCTTTACTGAGATGTAATTCACACACCAGGTAACTCACTCACTTAAAGTGCACAGCAGTGCAACAGTCTCCAGCATATTCACAGTGCAGTCATCCCCATTGTCAGCTTTAGAACATTTTCATCGTTCTGCTGAACTCTTCTTAGAAATCAAAGAAATAATATATTTTCCCTTGATAATAATACGCCATTCCCTTTGTTTCTAAGAAGAGTGAGGCATGTATATGGAGGAATATCTACCCCAAATGTCTCGTTACCCTCACACAACCCCAGACCCACGAGAGAGAATTTTTAGGGATTCCAGCACCTGCCACTTCCTTTTAGCCCCTCCCCCTCCCCACCACACAACCCCTTAAAAACAGGCTGGATCCCCTCCCAGCCTGACAGTGTTCGTTTACTTTCGGCTGGGATGGGGGAGAGTAGGTTCCAGTCCTGTAGGGTACAAGAATCAGGGCTGCTTGGGAGAAGAGGGTGATGGTTTTGCTGCCCAGGGAAAGGAGGTTTCTGAGAGGGGCCCATGTCACTAGAACCAAATGGTACCTGACCAAGGCCAGGAGACCTGAATTCTGCTTCCAACGTGGCCATAACCTTGGGCAGGTCATTCTTCGCTCTTGCTCTCCGGCCTGTCACCCATAGAATAAGGAGGTTAGGCCAAACAGCTCTGAAGCCTCATCCAGTTCTAATACCCAGCAAGCCTTTCTGCTCCCTTCCCATCTCAACGAGCTCCTAGTCACCCTTCCAAACCCAGCTTGCAAGCTGTCCATTGCCGGAGGCTCCAGCCAACCCCAGGAAGAGTGAGCTCACCCTTACCTATCATCCCAGGGCACTTTCCCCATGTCTGTTGGTTGTCTTAGCACATTCCTCCCACTCATTCTTTCAAGGATTATTTATTCATTTATTTATTTGAGAGAGAGAGAGGGAGAGAGCACAAGCTGGGGGGATGGGCAAGGAGAAACAGACTTCCCCACTGAGCATTCCAGACAGAAGGGACAGTCAGTGCAAAGTTGTAGCTCCTGGCTTACATCCCCTTCCAAGCCCGGAGGCTCCCTGAGGGCAGCTCTGTGTCCTGGTTGTCTTGGGGTCCCCAAAGCATAGCCCAAAATGAATGCTCAGAACACTTATGGGAGTCCTCTGAGCTCGTTCAGCTGCTCATTGTTACTCCCACCCTCTGCCCCCCCTCTGCTAGACTTGCACTTGGCCGCAGAGCTGGGGAAGACCCTGCTGGAGAGGAACAAGGAGCTGGAGGAGTCTCTGCAGCAGATGTACTCCACCAATGAGGAGCAAGTGCAGGAGATCGAGGTGAGGGGCCACATAGGCCCTGCATGTGCTCCCCCACCCATTAAGGACCCCTTGGCCTGTGGTACCTTTGTGTAACTTAAAGAAAGGTGCTCTCTTAGCAGACACAGCTTTAGCCCCATAGCCTTGTGCAGTTCACAACCCGTACAACTATCCCGGGCGGCCCTATTGCGCCACCATCTTTACCCCCCACTCTGTCGCCGACAAATTTCCCAAAGCAAACGTGTTCCTAGAAGTGGGAAGAGGTCCAGGTGAACACATTTCCCCCAACCCTGTTCTGAAAGGGTACTCAATCCTCTCCCCTCCAGTACCTAACCAAGCAGCTGGACACACTGCGGCACATGAATGAGCAGCATGCCAAAGTGTACGAGCAGCTGGACCTGACAGCCCGAGACCTGGAGCTGACCAACCAGAAGCTGGTGCTGGAGAGTAAGGCTGCCCAGCAGAAGATCCATGGGTGAGGGCCGGGTGGCGGGCTGGGGGGCGAGCGAGGGAGAGGTCAGGTTGGGTTGCATGTGGGCATACTGTCTGGTGGCTGTGACCCATGCTCCTTCTCCCAGAAGCCCAGGCCTGGGGACCCGGGTTGGTAGTGAGATTGCCCTTGTCAGTTTCGGGTGGTTTCATGTTCAGGCCACAATCCCTCTTGAAGCCCCAGCTACACACCAGGCTCTGTTTAGGCACTGGGGATACGGCGATGGGGATACAGAGACCATCCCGCCCTCTGGGAGCTCACAGCCCGGGAGGGAAGGCAGGCATGTAAATACTTTATTGAGGTGCAGGATGGTAAGTGCTCAAAGGGTGTGGGAGGAACTGAGGTGACACAGAGGAGAATGGTCAGCTCAGCCGGGGAGGGGCAGAAGAAGGGCGCATCCTGGGTACACAGGGAGTTCTCGTCTGACCTCAGGCACCAGGCAGCAGGGCCCATCTTTCCCCATCCCTGAGTCCCTCCAGGCCTGCAGTGAGGAGGGCTGGCCCCGTCCTGTTAAAATCCCTCCTGTGTGTGACCCCCCCACCACCCCCAGGCTGACAGAGACCATCGAGCGCCTGCAGGCCCAGGTGGAGGAGCTGCAGGCCCAGGTGGAGCAGCTGCGGGGCCTGGAGCAGCTGCGGGTGCGCCGAGAGAAGCGGGAGCGCAGACGCACTGTCCACACCTTCCCCTGCCTCAGGGAGCTGTGCACCAGCCCCCGGTAGGTGAGGGCGCCCCATGGAGGGAAAGCCCGCCCGGACCCTGCCCGGTGTCCATGCGTCCCGAAGAAAGGAGATGGTGGGTGGATGGGAATGAGAGTTGGTGTACCATCAGGCTGTCGGAGGGACTGGCCCTGTTGCCACCAACCATCAGCAGCTGGCATTGCCGAGCCCTGGCCGCGTGCCCACCGCTCTAAGTGATTTCACTCCCATGGCAGTACCGTGAGCTATGGTTTATCATCCTCACCGCTCAGGTGAGGAGACGGAAACTCAGAGCTTATGTGAGCTTATCCAAGGTCACCTCTTCAGTAAGCTAGAATTCCAACTCAGGAGGAGGTAACCACTACACCTTTCAGTCCCCCCACCCCGTTTTTTTTTCTTTAGAGAGGGAAGTGGAGGGGGGGACAAAGGGAGAGGGAGAGAGAATCTCAAGCAGGCTCCATGCTGGGCATTCCCATTAAATCTGAAAGGGATGGCCTCTTAATATAAAAATGCATAATTGTGGGGACACCTGGGTGGCTCAGTTGGTTAGGCATCTGATTCTTAGTTTCAACTCAGGTCACGATCTCATGGGGTGTGAGATGGTGCCCACCAGGGGCTCCATGCTCAGCAGGGAGTCCACTAGAAGATTCTCTCCCTCTGCCCTTCCCCCACACGCACACACTCTCTCTCAAATAGGTAAATAAATATTTTTTTTAAAGATTTTATTTATTTATTTGACAGAGAGAGAGCACAAGCAGGGGGAGCAGCAGAGGGAGAGGGAGAAGCAGGCTCCTGGAGGAGCAGGAATACCCATGCGGGACTCGATCCCAGGACCCTGGGATCATGACCTGAGCCGAAGGCAGACACTTAACCAACTGGGCCACCCAGGAGTCCAAAATAAATCTTAAAGAAAAAAAAAATTTTTTTTAAATACATATTGTGTATTTAGTGGGTATTTCAATAAGGGTCCTGGCATGAGACAGTGCCTTGCACAGAGTGATTAACGAAGAGGTGTGGACGAAGGTGTAGGGAAACCGCAGGGACACTGCAGTACCCTGGGGTTGCAACAGCAAGGGGCTGTTACCATCCCCTAGGCCTGAAGGGGCCAGGGGAAGGGAGGTTCCTGGAAGGCCAGGAGGTGCTGCCCGACCAGCACTAACCAGGGAAGGAGTCTGGAGAAGACCTTCCTTGACCTGCTTCTGTTCCTGCCCTCCGACCTCCTGCCCCTGCCTCCCTCTGGTTGAGCTCAGGAGAGAGCAGAAACCTGGCTGAAGCAGTTCACTGTGGTCAGCCGCCCCGGGCAGAGAGCAGGGAGAGAAAGGACAGAGAGTGGATCTAGAGGGGCAAACAGAATATCCCCCAGTGGACGGGAGAGGTGTTAAGCGTGGGGAGCTGGACCCGGGCCCTTGGCCTTGACCGGATTCTACCGGCCCTCCCCTGCCCCCTCTCAGGTGTGAGGATGCCTTCCGCCTGCACAGTTCCTCCTTGGAGCTGGGCCCGCGGCCCCTGGAGCAGGAGAACGAGCGACTGCAGACCTTGGTGGGTGTGCTGCGTTCCCAGGTGAGCCAGGAGCGGCAGCGCAAGGAGCGGGCGGAGCGCGAGTACACGGCGGTGCTGCAGGAGTACTCGGAGCTGGAGCGGCAGCTGTGCGACATGGAGGGCTGCCGCCTGCGCGTGCAGGAGCTGGAGGCCGAGCTGCTGGAGCTGCAGCAGATGAAGCAGGCCAAGACCTACCTGCTGGGCCGGGAGGACCACCTGGCCGAGGCCCTGCTCGCGCCCCTCACCCAGGCCCCCGAGGCCGATGACCCCCAGCCCGGCAGCGGGGACGACTCGGCTGCCCAGGACGGCGTCTCCTCGCCGGCCGCCTCCCCGGGCCACGCTGTGCGCAAGAGCTGCAGCGACACCGCGCTCAACGCCATCGTGGCCAAAGACCCCGCCAGCCGGCACGCAGGCAACCTCACACTGCATGCCAACAGCGTGCGCAAGCGCGGCATGTCCATCCTGCGGGAGGTGGACGAGCAGTACCACGCGCTGCTCGAGAAATATGAGGAGCTGCTGAGCAAGTGCCGGCAGCACGGCGCCGGGGTGCGGCATGCCGGCGTGCAGACCTCGCGGCCCGTCTCCCGGGACAGCTCGTGGAGAGACCTTCGTGGGGGCGAGGAGGGCCAGGGGGAGGCCAAGGCAGGGGAGAAGAGCCTGAGCCAGCACGTGGAGGCTGTGGACAAGCGGCTGGAGCAGAGCCAGCCCGAGTACAAGGCGCTTTTCAAGGAGATCTTTTCCAGGATCCAGAAGACCAAGGCCGACATCAATGCCACCAAAGTCAAGACGCACAGCAGCAAGTGACCCTTTCCCCAAAGTCAAGACGCACAGCAGCAAGTGACCCTATCCCCGCCTGCAGCCTCCTCCAGGGTCCGGCCACGGGGCCCCTCCTGCCTGGGCCATGCAGCCTCCGGTGAGGGAGAGAGCCCATCAGCAGCAATACGGCCCAGGGGAGGCTGCTCTCTGGCCCAGGGAGTGTGTGGGGGACGCAGCTTGTTCTCAGCTCATTCGGGAGGTGGCCAACCTATAACGCATCTGGCCTCCCAGGACCCTCCTCCATCCTGCGTCAGCCCAAAGACGCAGCTAAGAGTTGCAAAGCCAAACATGTCTCTCCCGCCCCCCCCCCCGGCCCCAGGATCCCCAGCTCCCCAGCCCTTGGCTTCCTGACCCTAGGCCTTGCTCACAGATTTGTGGCCAAGCTTCTGAAAGCCATTTTGGACCACTTGGCTTTTTTCTTTTTTTCTAAGTTTTTGTTTGTTTGTTTGTTTTGTTTTTTATTTTTTGTTTTGAGAGATTTGCAATGCGAGGTCTCCCTGACCCCTTGCCACAACTGAAAACACTTGAAGGGGGATCCCAGAGCCAGCTGTTGCAGGTTCCAGGGGTCTCCTGGACCACCCACTGCTTCTCCCCAGCTGTGACGCGCTGTCATTCCCTTAGCACCAGCTGTCCCACCCCCAGGGTCCTGACCAGGTCAGAGACGGCCCCTGCCATGGAGAGCAGAATGCCTCAGCCAGGCCTGGAGTGCCCCCCACTTCTCCCTGGAGACCCTCAGCCCACTGCAGATCTGTAGCCAATCAGAGGAGGGGAACAGGGAGCCCCTCGGCAGCCATACATGAACAGTGCACCCTGCTTTCCTTAGAGCCCGTCTCCTCGGGCTCCAGCCCTGGAAATGCCTTCTGGCCATTAAGCCTTCCAGGAGTCTGGGCGGTGGGGAGCCCCCATCTCTGCACGCCACCTCTGACTCGCCAAGCTTGGCCTCTGCCTGCCCCCATCTCAGGGACCATGATGTGTCTCATTCACTCCCATGCTCCCCACAGGCTGACCCCTCCTCAGATCATGCCTGCTACCCCCAGAATGTCCCATGAGTGTGCCACCAGCCAACGGTCCCAGCATCCGCCCCTGCCCCCCTTCAGTGGGGACTGCCCAATATTTCCACTTTATACTGAACAGTATTGAAATGGGACCTGGTGGAGAGCATGTCTCCTCTCCCATAGAATGCCTGTTCTTAAGCTCTTACCTTTGTGGGGGGCTTTTGAGGACCCACCTGGGTCACAGGTTAAACCTTTTACTAAGGCTTCAGAAAGTCCAGCTTCAGCTAAGAGATGTCCAGGTCCCCAGCTTGCCCTGAGCAGTTCTTCAGGGTTTCCAGTTCCTTCTACCACCCATCCTGAGATCCTAGAAATTGGAGGAGCCACACAGCCCGGTGGAAGGGGGTAGCCCTGGCCTCTGTGCTGGCAACCCAGGAGGGACCTTCATGCCTTATCTGTTTCTAAGGGGTAAAGGGGTTTTCTTAACAAGCATGCCCGACCTCCCTGGAGGCGCTACCCTGCTCTCTGGGCAGCACTGTGATGAGCGCTGTCGGCTGGTCCTTCCGTTCACACATCTTGGAACCCTTTGTCCTTGGGAGCTGGGCAGCCCCCAGCCCTCCGTGTGTCTCTGTCATCTAGGGTGGAGGGGATAGGGTGGGGGAAGGGCTCCTCCTGTTTGCTCCCCAGTTCTGTAGCGGCCGACCAGCGTCACCTTTGAAGTATACACGAGAGAAATATATTTACAAATGCTTTATTCTCTTCTTTAATAAAAAATGCACCAGTATTCTAAAAGCAGAAATGGCCCTAGAGCCATGGTCCTGTCTTTGTGCATCTCACACACCCGCCTCTCATCACACAGCTCTGGGGCTGGGGGCGGAAGGGGGTGTCCTGAGCTTCACTCTCCTGGGATCCTGCAGCCAAACAGCTGAATGCCTGGGGTGTTATCAGGGGACTGGGCAGATAAGTGGTGGTGGTGAAGGAAGCAGGTTCCAGGAAGAAGGGGTAGATTTCCCCACTCTGCACTGTCTGCTCAGCCCTTCAGGGAGGAAGGAAGGTGGGTCTGGAATAGAGCTAGTGAAGACTGGATTTCCTACCCCAGTGCTGCAGAGAAAAAAAATAAACGCCACCCAATCTCTGAAAGTAAAAAGAAGTTCGTTATCATCCCCCTCACGGCAGCGAACTTTTGTTGTCTGCTGACTTCATGCCAGGCAGTGTCAACCTTGGGAGGCAGCTATAAAATCTCTGTTCTACTGATGGAGATTCTGAGGCTTCATGGTTAAGTTAGTAATTCAGAGTCCCATAGAAATATTCAAACCCCGAACTGACCAGTTCCACTCTGCAATACTGCACATGCCTATCTCTTTGTAATGTTTAGTTTTAAGAGCCAGTCCGACCCAGGGCACTCCAGAAAAGAAGAAAGGAAAATCCTGTGGGTCCCCAACTCACAGGCCAGAGAGAAGGGCTGGTGCCTGCAAGCTCTTCGAAGCTGCCAGCAATGGCTTAGTGATGCTTTGTCTTTTCTTCCCTTCTTTCTTGCCTCTGAATGTCCCCTTCTTGAAGCCCCATTTCAGCCCCTGGAGGGCCAAGGAGGGGAAGGAAAAGGCTGGCCTCAGCCGTCGGTGCCCACCTTTTGAAGGGGACAGGTGGCATCTCTTAGGCCTGTTTCTTCCAGAAGGGCCTCTATTCTGGAGGGTTCACAACAGCAGCAGGTGAGAGGAGCTTGCTAGCTGCTCTTCTCTCCACCCTGGGATAGCTCATCTCACTCTCTCCTCTACCCGCCCCCCCCCCTTCCAGAATCCAGGCCACCAGATGGCCTGAGCAGGCTGTGTTTATTTGAGGCCATGGAAACCTACAGCTCCTTTTTTCTATCACTCTGGGTCAGGAGCAGGGCTGGAGCCCAGCCTCAGAGCAATGATGCCATGAAATGGTGCTGACTTTATTATTCATAATCCCTGAGCTGTCGACCTAAGTGAGTCCCTGGCTTTGCTCCCTGGAGCATCTTATGCCCGTCACCATAGAGACGCCTCAGTTCCCTCTGAGGTCTTGGGACTAAAACAGGGAGGGACCCAAGAGATTCCCCTTCCAGCCGAGAGCCCAAAAGGCGAATGTCTATCGCCATTCCCTTCCTAGTTGGCGTTTACAAAGCCAGTGCCTGGGAAGTAGTTTATTCCTTCCTAAAGAATATGCCTGTAGCGATGAGACTAAAATGGTAAAGCCTCAATTTGATGACAGTCTCCTTTTTCAAACAGCCTGCATCCCTAGGGACATATTTTTCTAGGTAATTGTGCTTTTACTAAAAATAGAACTCTTCATTACAAAACAATCACTAGGATGACTAATAATCACTAATCATTCATTGAGCTGTTTCCACATCGCCTCTCTCCAAAGGAACTTAGCCAACACTTGGCTCTCTCCAAACACTGCTTGCTCTGCTTTGAACCTTTCTCGGAGTTAGAACTTCTGTTTTGAGGTTCATGTCTTAAGAACCCTGGAAAAGGGCTCTGCTTAGCCTGTCTGTGGCTGCCTCAATCTCTACCCGCTCCCTCAGCATTCCTTTATCTCCTGGCTAGGAGAAACTGTCATCATGCCCCACAAAGCTGTTGCTTCTGTGAAGGGGTGTGGGTCCACTTTTAAAAACACGTCTTTCTCCACCTGCCTGCTTCTCCTCCCATCTGGTCATTTGTCTTGCGGAGACTTCACACACCTGCTCAGCCGGGATTTGCTTACACTGCCTTGTGAATAAACCTCAAGTTACTAAAACTCGGCTCCAGCAGAATTCACCTTTCAAAAACACTGCCAAATAACTCATCTTATGAATATTTATTGAGTATCTATGATTTGCCAGGTTCTGGGTGCTGGAGACTCAGCAGTGAGCCAGTGGCCCCCACCCACCCCCGGAGCTTATTATATTCTGACTGGAGACAGGCAATAAACTAGAAAAAAAATAAAGAAGAGCAGAGGCAGAGTAAAGGGGATGGAGACGAACTGCCCCAGGCAGGGCAGGACGCATTGATGGCAACTTGGAGGGGAGAGCGGTCCAGGAGGTGGGCACAGCCCCTGAAAAGGAGAGAAGTGTTTCTGGGGGACACGGATTCCGGGGGTTCTTTTCACCAGGAGGCTCCCTTGAGAGCTCGCCGTCTGGCCAACAGTGGACCTCAGTGCTCCAACCTGGCCTCCCCGACGCGGCGGAAAGGGGAGCGTCTCACAGGTGCGGGGGAGAGCGACCCGGGAGCTCAGCTCGACGCCTCCCCGCGACCCCGGCGGGCACTAAAAGCCTCGCGGAACTAAAGTCCGGAGGGAAACAGGAGCCGGCGGGCCGCGGAAGGAAACACCCACCGGAAGCGGCCCCGAGACCCGAACATGGCGACCGCTCGGTGCCTGCGCTGGAGCCTTAGACGAGCCGGGGCCTGGGTGCTACCGCCGCCCGCGCGCTGTCCCCAGCGGGCTCTGCACAAGCAGACAGATGGCACCGAGTTCCAGAGCATCTACAGCCTGAACAAGCTCTACCCGGAATCACGGGGCTCGGACACCGCCTGGAGGGTCCCGGTGAGCGGGGAGGGCTGGACGGAAGGGGCGTTTCCCCGCCTCTGCTGGGGGACGTCGGGAAACCGGGGCCGCAGTGGCCGGGCCGGAGCAAATTGGAGCCGCGTGCAGAACGAGGCGGTGGCCGCGGGAGGGAGCTGGTGGCCGGAGCGAGCGGGGGATGGGGCCGCGGAGCGGGTCCTGGCTCCCGGAGGCCTGGAGGTGTGCGGGGGTCGCGAGAGCAGGCTGAGTGTTTCTTACAGGACCACCAGCTTTTCCGCGTTCGTTCCCCGGCCTCCTGGCCCACATGTGGGCATTTTCTCTCCAGAGTGGACAGTAAAACCCAAAGGCTGTCAAACTGTTTGGAACCTTTTGGGAAGTTACACTGTCCATAGCTTCTAGGAATTCCAGCGCGCCTGAGGAAACAGGGCCTCTCTTCAGGATGCATTGATTGCCAGCCTGCTCGGTACAGGCTCTTT